AGCTGAGCAACAAAGCGAGCCTCGTGTCCATCCAGCACTCAGTCGCAGCCTGGGCCCGTCTGCTCAACGACGTCGAGGGAAGTGGGGTACTTTCGTGTGATGACGGGACTCGGAAGTTCCGCAAGCTGGATTCCCTCCTTCAAGAAGAGGTCCTGTGTACGTGCTATGCATTCCTCGGCAAGGACGGTGTTGCGGACTTTGGGATGGTTGATCAGGTCATTCGTGACCAATGCGAGTCGAAGAAAGACATGCCGCCGCTGAGCATCGAAGCCTTTCTCACGAAGCTGCACACAACACATTCGCACTTGCAGAAGGCAGTCCTCACAGAGTTGACATGCTCAGAAAATGTTTGGAAACGTACCGTGACGAGGATTGCCCAGCTTCTGCGCAAACCGAATAGTTGATTTGTTCCGGAACACAGCCCATCAGCCTCCATGATGTTTGAAAGGGTTGAATAGTTTTTGCGCGGCATTCGTTTCGCTGAAGCACTGGGCCATGCGCACGAGTCGCTGTACTCTAAAGGCACAGATGAATCTGCAAGTCAGTTGCGCACTGTCTTGCCGGCCATGTGCGCACCACGAGGCAAGGGGTCACAAAATTGGTCTGCAGTCTCCATCATGTATGGCTAGCCGCTAGATGCTCATGCTCTGCTGGTGTGACGGCTGCATCAGCTTTCGTTCATGTGTTGCCTGCTTGCACACGGTCCTGTCGCAAGGTCCAAGGTTTCTTTCCAGGGATGATTGTGATGGTTATGGTAACGACTACCCTTATATTTCCCTACAGTACCTTTTGTACCCTTCAAGTATCTTTTTAGTATCCGTATAGTACACTAAAAGGAATCCAACAGGTGTGGGCTTCTCAAAGTAGCTTCTTCGTCACGGTTCCTTCGTGTCCGGAGACTCCACATCCTGAGTTCTGGCTCACCAAGTTTCTGAGAAGAGCACTGTCAACCGTACTTTGCAGGTGCTGCTTCTTCTGCTTCTGCTTAGGAGATGATTCTGATTGCCATGCAGAAACACCATACCTTGAATCCGGAAACCCGAACACGAAAGTGGCTCTCTGAAGCTGGATTGCTGACGGAAACGAGGGGACATAAACACCAACCAAAGAAGCCGATCCGCCACGGAAGCAAAGGCCCAAAGTCCTCGTCTCCCCAGGCCGGCAGATGAGTCGCTGGCTCCGGCAGCAGTACCGTAAAAGATTTGAGGTCTAAGATTCGAAGTTGACGCGTTTCTGTGGTTTGAAATGGAGTGTTGTGAACGTGGTTAAATATGGGTATGGGGGCAATGAGGCTTCGAGGTTCAGTATGTTTCAACTAGCACCGTGCCAGGGTCATCCCCTGCGTGCGGAGGAAAAGGGGCGTTCTGGCCTGCGCGGGCAGTGAAGCCTTAGGGTTCAGGGTGTAAGGCTTTCTAGGGTTTGTGTCATTTTTTCGTGCCGCCCAGCAATCGCAAGAGATGACAGCGACATGTAGTGATCTCGGGCTCGGACAAGACCTGGCTGTAGGAAGGGCATTAATGGGTCTGTGACATCGTACCCGTGTGCTCCCGTCGTTGCATCCTGGCGTGCACCTCATCCCGCACGAGAAGCAGCATGCCGACTGCACACGGATAGCATCGTTGAAGTCATAATCCCGGTCATGGCATGGCAGCTGGAGCACAGGGGTGCTGGTGATGGTGGCGGTGGTGATGGTATGGTGGTGGTGGTGCCAGCCGCGGCGGCTGCGCTGCAGGTGGTGGTGGCATGAAAAAGAAGGCAAGGAAGAAGAAGAAGAAGAAGGAATAATATGGTGGTGATGGACACTGATGGCAGTACCGTCACACGTAACGGTGCAACATGAGTCATCTTAGTGTGTTGATGTTGCATGATGAATCTAGTTAGTCAAATCTGCGCAGCTTTGCAGCGAAAACCTTTGATGCCACGATATTACCACCATTGCAGCTCAGCTTCCGCAGTGCAAGAGCTGATAGTCTGGGCTGGCATGTTGCGGGTTGTAAGTTTCCCATAGCTGCTGAGATTGCTGTTCCGCCAATCATTTCAGACTGAGCTTCGCTTGTGACATGACATGTTTTGGTGAAGAGAACGCCCAAGCTTTGATTCCGGCGATCTTATGGCCCTGCCGTCATAAAGGATAGATGTTGGTTCCTCCTGCTTCACGGATTGCCTTGCCGGCTTGCCAGATACCCTGTGGTATCACCCTTTCGCCGTTGGCTCCTGCTTTGTCTCCCGGCAGTTAGCTCATCAGCAAAGAGAATCATGTGCAGGGTTCCGCAGCCTGGACCATTCTTCTGACAACTCCTGCCGACAGAAAGGAGAAGGGCACTAGCACCTTGCAGACTGCACCCTTGCGCATACTGAGCAAACGTTGAGCCAGCCATCATGTCGTCGCTTATGGACTTAGACTCGGACGGAGAAGTGCAAGAGGACACTTGGGGTCTTTTTGCGAAAGCTCACCTTCTCACCAGTTCTCATTGCAAGCAGGCTCAAGAGCTCGCTTCTCTGGGAATTCTTGACGCCGCATTGTGATGGAAACAGCTCTGTGGATCTTGGGCAAGAGCTGGCTGGCTGTCTTTCGCGGGATTAACCTCGCAGATGTACAGCGCAGCTGCATTTGGCTAACCCGGTCAGCCCATGCAGGAAGCTCTAGAAGAAGGAGAAGTGGTGGAAGATGGTGAGATCGACGAGGCAATGAGAGGGCCAGTCTTGACGCCTCTCTCTCTTTCGGCAGCTTGTGTGATTGCTTTCGTCACAACTGTCTCGTCTCGGCTATGAAGCACTTGGCTTTGCATGACGGCTGTCTCCCCAACCGACAAGCTCAGGGATGTCGGCTTCCGCAGTCTCAGGGTGTGGGAACATGGGATTCGGGGAGAGTAGCGAAGGCCGAACTTGGTTGCCGATGAAAGAGTTGGTATTGCACTTTCATCTTCTTTGTGGAGATTTTCGTTCAGGAGTTCGTTAGGGATTTGCTCAGCATGCCCGTTGTTTCGGCCTGCCGCTAGGAGCAGCCTCTCGGAATTGACAAGCAGAATCAGGAAGAAGTTTTGCAGTCGCCGCAGGAGCAAATCCTGTTTGCTAAGGGCTTTGTTTCTCTTAGTTCCGCTGTTGGACTTTTATTAAGTCCGAAGCAGCAATGACCTGCTGTGGGTTGGGTTCGTTGGGTTTTTGTCAGCTAATCATTCCAGTGATTGGGTTCATTCTGCACCTGCAGGCTGCCTACTTGAAGCTGTTTTTGCTTTTCCGCTCATGCTTTCCTGATGTTCGCGACTCTTGCTATGTGCAGGAGCTGGCTGCAGCGAAAGCAGAGGCCACCGCCCAAGCGGGTCTGAGCACCTTACCTTAGCCGGACTTTCGAGTGGCAGTTCGGCCAGAATGCACCGAAATTCAGTTGACGGTCATGTGTCCTCTGGCCTTCGGCAGCTATCCTCTCTGGAACTGCATCGAGAAGGGTTCGAACCACGGAGTTTGCCCGAAACCTCGCCCCACAAGCGAATAAGCATCACAAGGTCGACTCTGCAAGTGCAGAGACGGAAGATGAAGACGGCGAAGTGTCGGAGAAGGCACGCGGCGAATTTCCGAGAAGCCATTCCGAAGAAGTCTCCTCAGCAGCCTGACTCTACCCAAATGCGCAACCCTGCGCGCTAAACGCCTTCCCAGCATGCTTTTAGGTGGTCTCCACGTAGGTGGCTCGAGACCGGGCTGGATCAGGATTTAGAACTCACGGCTATGAGGGTTCAATTTTTCTGGATTTCGTGTTGAGGGTTCAGGGTTTGTCGGATTTCGGTATTTGGGGTTTATGTCGGGTTTAGGCTACGTAGCGCTTAGGGCGTAGCGTCTGAGATTGTGTCTCAGACGCAGGTCTGTAATGCAAGGATGAAAGGCTCAACAGTACTTGAGGGGACGCTAACTGGGAGAAGCACGCATGTCCAGCCGCGGGATGCGCATCACTGAATCCCATCTTCAGGAGCAAGCACCGGACGAAAGGGAAGCAGAACAAGATGAGGGTGATGGTAAAATCAAAGACGAGCAAACAGTGGACAAGGACCTGAAATGGTAGACCGATTTCTGTGTCGAGTGTACCTATTTGGTTTTGAGCGGTGATCTGCGGGCCCGTCAGGTTCTGTTGCTTGCAATGGACCTTTTCGGCACTGACTTTTAAGCCATGTGACTTGGTGCTACGACCTCCTACCCCAAAAGAAGTACCCAAAGCACTTTGAACAAATGCCGTTTACGGCGAACCTGAAGAGACATGACGAGATCAGGACCTCGTCCACGACACAGAGTCAGAAGAGGACGCGGAGCCTGCGGTGGAGAATGCAGACGTGGTCGAGCCGAAAGAGGCAGAGAGCAGGGAAGCTTTTCTTGGGCATTGACCCGCGCACGGCAGGATGTAAATAGGCTAGGGGAAAATTCCATTCACCAGGAGTTGCACACTTCTTGATCGCTGTTGTCTCACAATGACTCCAAAACATGGAGTCATGACCGGGAGTGGAGAATTCCTTGTGTCAGTTTAAGTGTCTTGACCGAGACCCACAGGCAACCAGCAGAATGACAAAGCCAATGTCGCTTCACTCATCCCCTCCAGCAGAGCCGTCGCACTTGCAGATCCTTTAGGCGTCCAGCGACACTTCGCCGGCCATCTCGGACGAGGAGGATGACAGTTGAAGCTGATAGTCGTATCCCCATGGCAAATCGAAGTCCTTGTGCTGCTGTCGTTTCTGTCTGCTTGCTCTGCCCACTAGATGAGCTTGGCAATTAGCCACGTCTTCGTTCACGTGAAGCTCATGACCATGTCCATCTCGATGCTCATCTAATGTTTGTCCACACTGCTGCTATTCTAAATGCTATTCCGCAGGCTGTTGTCTTTCGTCGTTGTAGCTGCCAGTATGTGCGTTTGTTGTTGTTCTAGACAGTTGTAGAACGAATAGAGCAGAACAAGCAGCAGCTGCAGAAGAAAAGCGAGTCATAGCCGTCATCGCAGTCTAGTAGCAGGGTTGGTCGTCATCGCAGCTGCAGCTGTATTTCTGCAGTTGCCAAAATACTTGAGGGTTTGATTCGATTCAGTTTACAATCGCGAAACTAGCAGTCACTAGTAGTACTCACATCGCTATCTCTGACAGTTGCCGTTGTACCAGGGTACCCGAAGACTCGACCGAGATCGCTCGTTCAACTGAAGTTTATTACTGGGTGTCTCTGCGCAGGACGGCGATTCGGAGAGCCTGCCCCACCGGCGAAGGAGGAAATGTCGACGAAGCACTGGCCGGGTGCCTGGTGTTTTCGTTTCGTGCAACAGAGGCGTGGGACCCTGCGAAATCATTCAGCAAGCAGCGTAAAGGCAGGCAGGCAACAGTCCTGTGATTTTCGCACATCTCTCCAGAAGGCCTTACTCCCCGCCTTTTTATCTGAAGATTGTTGCTGCTGCGGAGGTGAGCGTCACTTCCTCCAACTGTAGGACACACAAGCTCAATCCCCAAGTCCGACGGGACCACGTCGCCGCCACAACTCCCAGTCCATGTCGCCACACCAGCTACAACAGCCACAGAAACCTCAAGCTGACGACCGGAAGCATCAAGAACATCACAAGAAAGGCATCGCGATGGAAAGCCGCCCGAAAGACCAACGAGTTTCCACTGCTACGCGCTTCGCCACACCTTCCATTCTCAGACCACGCTCCGGGCAACGATATCGAAACCGTCAGCCGCAATCTGTCCGACCCATTCAGCACTCAACTTCCGACGATCACAAGCCTTGTGCCAAAAAAGGTCACGCTTTCCACCATGGTCTCTACCATCCCCTACGGCGGCTATGCCCTGCAAGCCACTATGGCCTTCCAGACTCGAGCCGAAAGACTCATGCAAGTTCACAACGTAGACCAGGTTCCAGTCCACACCGTCGCCGGCGGCATCATCGAGAGAGGTGCTCTGGTTGTGCGTGGTGGTCGGTGTTCTTCGGCGATGAGCAGTTGTGTAGCCGTCGAACGGCGCAGATCCTGCAGTCTACATTCACATAATCGTGACACTTGTTTTTGAGAGTTCGAAGGATCAAAGTCGTCGGCCGATTCTCATTGCCTCCGCAAGAAGCCCGTTTGTCCCGGCACTTGCAGGAAGTAGCAAATGCAGGTTTTTCGCAGCAGCGGAAGTTTCGGGGCTTCCTTGCATCTTTACCTAACTTCCTGCTCAGCGTATGAAAATCTCAGGGAGCCGCGGAAAGCTCGTGCCAAGCTCATGGCCAGAGAGCAGAAACGCCGGAAGACATCGGCCAGATCCCCGGAGGGGGGCGATCGAAGGTTTTTCGGGTTTGGGGTCCCGGAATGTGGAGAAGCTGAGTCTGGACGGTGGAGAGATTATGCTGCCTGATGGACCGCCCGAAGCCTCAAAACATGCCACCCAAGTCTAGATTGGCGCCGCTGCACGTGCTGGACATGGCCTCTTCACGGCAAACCCACGAACGTCAGGTGCCTTCACGCCAGACGCTCCACGAGAACGTGAACCGATCCATGCGTGAGGCCAGTCAGGGGCTGATACATGAGAAGGATCATGGCTATAGTTGGTCTCGTTATCACTTCAGTTGGGGTCGTCACAAAAAGAACCCGAGCTTTAGCCTGTTTTCTCAGTACTACGTCCCATGAGGCTCCAGACCGAAGTGCTGGTCCCAGTGGGCAGGGCGGGCCTTTCAGAGGCTGCGAGATGATCCAAGCCTTAGCTCAACCCGGCTCGGGCCCGGCGATGCGCCGTCCGATCTGGTTTCACGAAAACCGGGGTACAGGGGTCAGCCATCCGTTCGTTTTGCCCTATCCGTCCAACCCGAAAACCGATGCCAAGGCCCTACCAGGGCCTTTCCCCCACCCGGCCCCGACAAGCCCCATGATTCGCAGGTGTATGTTGGAGGCCTCGCATGGAGCAGCGCCCGCCAGGACCGGGAGAGACTTCGATCTGGAGAGGAGGGTTCCGTGAGGCACCTTTTCAAGCGGGAACTGGAGAACGTCATCACACATGTTAGTGCAAGTTGCCAGTATTTGTTCAGGAGACGAATGATGAGGATGTTCATGGTCATGGTGCGACTGCGATGAGCGTGGTGATCGTATCAGTGATAGCTGATGATGGTGGCAACAGTTATCATGTTTTGTTGACCGTGATGATGGCAAACAGTATCACCGTGCTACGTAGTATCACGACCATGATGGTCATCACGACTATATCCTCATGATCACAGCTATCACTTGTTTTTTTGAAAAGCAGGTGAAAATGAGCGGCTGTCTTGTCATGCAGGTGCATCATGACAGTTGATCCTGTTCTTGTTGTGATGCTGTTGAGAGGATTAGCATAAACTCGTAGTTTTTGCTTAGTCAGTTTGGTCGGTCTAGCACGTGGTATCTTGCTCGCATCTTCCGTGACACAGACTCTGGTCGCGAGTTTGAAAATCACCCAAAGGAATTTGGTACAGTTAATGCAGTGACCGTATCGCATAATGTGTAGGATACAAGGGTAGTTTTCTCAGCCTCTCGTGCCATCGGCGCGGCCGGTCGTGAACGCTGTGTGGCGAGTAGGGAAGCCAGTTTGGAATCAGCAGGCACTCAGCATGAGCCTGTCGCTCGAGCTGCACATTGCGCTTCAGCGCATAACTGCTTGCAACAAAAGCGAGCGCTTGCTGATGGTGGTGCGCGACGACCTGATCAAAAGTTTGCAAGCCGGACAGACCGCAGTGGCTTATGCACACGAGGCGTGGATGCAGCTTGAGCGGTTGGGTGCGGACGTGATGTCCATCGGGAGGTTGGTCGGTTTCGTTGACAGGGACAAGATGCACAAGGCTTTCAAGGACTCCAAG